GCCGCGGGAGAGGTCGTACTGCGAAGGGGGTGCACCCCTCCGCTTCCGCAGCACCCGCTGCCGACACCTCCGCAGATCTGGACCCTCCGGGTAACACAACTGATGGCAGCCAAGGCCCCGTCAGCGAGGGCAGCGAACACCGTGTGCGAGCAGTGCGCGCATCCTGCGATGGGGCCCAAGGGGTTGGAGTTACTCCAGGGAGAACACCCGGAACCGTGAGACCCCAGACGGTCCCGGGGCCCGCGTGCCCTGCAGCGGCACGTTATGCAAGATGACGTGACTCAGACATTTCTCCTCGTAGGAGGCAGCCAAGGCAGCAGCTGCCCTCAGCACCGTGGTTCCTACCTTCCTCCCAATCCCTTAGAAGGAACAGGGCTATTCCTCCTACCCAAATTCCACTGGAAGAAGGTTCTGCTGGAGTCCTGCATTCCCTAGCACATTTATCCCGACAAGACTGCTCCACTAACTGCAGGATTGCTGGGGAAACCAGAGCCAGATGCTCAATTCCCCAGGTTTCTGTAACCCACAGCAGCCGCCCGCTCGACGGCCAGCTCCGTAGGGAGAGGGAATCTGGTCACATCCACAGGACAAGCAACTACGTCACATTCAGTGTCGCACACAGACACGGCCATTTCAAAAACGGTTGCATCTCGGGAAGCTCAAAGCGGGTTTTGCTCCCCACAGCCTGTATCACTAGCCGGAAAGCGAGCTTAAAGCCGAGGTCGGGGGGGGAGCCGCAGGGAAGGGCCGGCGGGTCAGTGGTGGTCAGGGCAGAGCCTACGGCAGAATCAAGGCTCAATTCTGCAAGCCAGCACTGGGACTCTGAGGCACTCGGGAATAAGCGGGTGGTTCCAGGTCTTTGGCTCCGGACAAGGCGCGGGATCGCCGAAGGGCGTTTTGGTTGGGAAGCCACAACCCTTTTTGAGCAGGGCCATTTCGGGTCAAGTCACAGGCGGTGGGGGAGATGACAGAGGGGGCGGCGGGGAGGAGTCTCTCGGTTCTACAGCTGGGGTGGGAGGGTGAGGGGAGTTTTCGGGAGCCACAGGACACGGGTGCAGGGGTGAGCATGGCAGGAGACTCAAGACACTGGTGTCCGAGCAAGTGCCAAGGCCTCGGTGCGGCCACTCACGTTCGATGACAAAAACGTTCGCCTGGGAACGGATCCACTTGACTTTGGGGCTCTTCGACAAGTGGTTGCGGTCAGGGTCGTTGCTCGCCCGGCACTCGTACATGCCCGAGTCGTCGCTCGTGAGGTTTGCGATGTAGATGGTACTGGTAGAGTGGAGGTTGTAGGTGGCGTTGATTTTGACACGGTCCTGCCGTGCGCCATCCCAGAGCTGAGCATAGGTCTCATTTGGCTCAATTCCCTCAAACCACCACTGGATCTCAGGGATAGGATTGCCAATCGCCTCGCAGTACAACTCCACGCTGTCCTGAGTCAGTCTCTTTTGAGACAGCGGTGACTTTATAAAGCCAGCTATGAGTTGAAGAGGTATTAGTGCAAAGTGTTAGTGCAAAGCAAGAATTCACCCTCTACAAGCAAAAGAAAAATAAGATTCAGCCATCCAGAAGAGGCCACACGCAATCTCCAGACCAGCGCACTCTTCCCTCCCTCCCCTCCGCGCTCTGAACTCTGCCCAGCTCGGACAGGGATGTTCTTGAGTTGTTGTTGTTCCACCCGGCCCCTCGCACGGGATGGCGTTACGGCACAGCGGACCGAGACCCTGCAACGCTTCCCCAACTCCATTCAGGATGGAGACAAGCACAGGGTTCCCTCCGCAGCCCCATCCCCCGTGTGCTGGGAAGCTGCTCGCGCGCCCGCCAAAGCCCCAGCTCACGGCACGGCGGAGCGGGCGGCAGCAAGGCAGGATGCTCCCTCGCAGGGAGCGCAGCACCCCGAGCCCCGACTCGGGTAACAACTGCCACGGGAAGATGCTCCATCACCCCCTTCTCACCCCAAACAGGAACATGCCTGCTCCTCCTGGCTCCCTCCCCGAGGTCAGTTGACTGTAATTCGGAGCCGGCCGGGCCCCGGGCAGCCCCG